TTGTGAAAAACCTTCTCTGGCTACCTGTAAAGTACAGGATTATGTGTAAAGTCCTAGTTATTAACTTACAAGTCCTTAAATTGACTTGGGTTTGAATACCTCAGAGACATTCTGGAACCATACATCCCCAGTCGTTTTCTTTGGTCTCAGTCAATTGGATTAGTTCTTTTTGGCTGAAGACATTGAGCTACAGGGCATTTTTAGTGTTTGCTCGCTCCTCATGGAATTCATTAACCATGGAGGTCAGACTGGCTGACTCTTTAACATGCTCTAAATCTGAACTTAAGGTACATATTTTCAGATTGCTTATTAGGAAGTGTAAGAGTTATATGGTTCTCTCTATTAGGTTGCTATAGTCTTTTCACATAGGAACATAACCTTGAGTGTCAGTATTTGAGAGCCAGAATTAGTGTTGTCTCAGGGTTATTTTTGCTCTATGCACTGCAAGAAAAAATCAATTTGTAGTATTGCAGCTTTTCCCAATAACTTTGTAAGGATCTGCAGAGAAGAGGTGTGGCAGATGGAAACCCTATGCTTAGACAAGACATTCCTACTTTTAAAGCACAGTTGACAATATGATCTAGATCAATATTTCCAGGAAGCACAGCAGACAAAGTAGACAGCAACTGTCTTTTTAAGTTGGTTTTTTTTTAAGTATTTCGTGCAAACATTATGAGCATTTGCTTTTAAGATATTTATAACTTTTCCTTTCTTCCTTTTCTCATCAGCACACATCCAGAGAAGCTTCCTTGGTTTTAGCTGGTCTGCACCACAGTAAATGAGCACTGAATTCAGCCATTAGATCAAATTAAGCTCTGATCTAAATAATTAATAAGACTAGATCAGATAACATTTTTACTGTAATAACAGGCATTGTTATGGATGCCTGTGTGGTGTGATGATACTTTCATTCCACGGTGGTACTGCAGGTGAACACATCCCAAATTATAAAAGCAGAACAAACTTAAAAGGTTGACTAACAAGAGTCTAACGGGATTTGATTTGCCCCTTCCCCTGTGTCCTGGGGATAAATCAGCTGCTATGGAGGGGGTGATGCAATCAAAAGAGGGAGGCATGGATGCAGTTAATCCATGAACGTGCTCCCTATATTGGTATAGCACATATAAAGAACAATTCCCTATCAGCAGTGTATGAATAACTGTGTCTTGAGCTTGCATGCCAACAGTTATGTGTGGATGTCATCACTTTAAAAAATAAAAGCTGTTTCTATAGACATGCAAGACAGATTGGTGAATTTGCCTGGTTTAAATTAGGCTGAGTGGTTCATGATGGTGCAAGGAGAGGAAAGATATTTTAATAAAACCAGCCAAATCAAACCTTCCCTGCCCAATCGACTTTTCACAGAACAGGTTGACAGGGTATTAAAAGCTGTTCCATTGCATTCTGCATGTGAAAAGGGTGCCTAGCATCTAGATTTAATAGAGCCCTAAATAGCTATAGATAATTTATTCTAGTTATAGCTTTAAGTTCTGTTTTTCAGAGAATATGAGTCTTACAAAAATGGTTTCCATGCAAATCAAAACCAGCTGAAAGCTTGCCAAGGCCAAGATGTAATTTAAGATGGCATTTAAGCCGCTCTGTCTTTTCTGTCTCTAGAGATATCATCATAAAATAAAAGAATTCATCAGGTAATGTTTTCTTCATTATTCAACTGCACAATTCTGAAGTGAAAAAGATAATTAGACATACAGTGCTGTCGACACATAGTTTATTAGGAGATTCTGATTAATTAGCTATGGTAAAAGGTTTTTATATAGTCATAATTAATTTATATTTCAAGAAAAAAGGCAAACAGACAGTACACAGATTTTAATATTTCTTTCCTCTGACAAATTTATCAAAGTAATTCTGAAGTTCTGTTGAACCTACTGAACTTCATTGTTGCTTTATAGAGTGGAAGCAGACATCTAACAGCACAACTAATGCTGACTTCCCTGGGAGTCATCTTAACACCCTCACATCAGTTTGAAAAATTCATTTTTTTCTCTGCTGAACCAGCAAGGGAAACAACTGTGAACTGCTCACCAAGACACACCCTGGTCTGAAATACGTAGAATAAGCAATGCAAAATTTGGATGTAACACACAAGTTGCCTTCTAAATTTTCGTATTTCCTTCTACCCAATTGACCTGATCTACAGTAGGACTGAGGTCAAAAGCTGATTATTCCGTGCTTCCTTTACTTTTGCATATTGTGGATTATCTAAAAGAGCTGGACATATTCTCTCCATGCATTGTCATGGTATCTCCAGACTTGTGCTCACACTCAAACCCAACCTCCCTTCACAGACCTCACAGAGGATACACTTTGATTTAGGCTTTGGTCAGCACAGGAATGAGCCAACTGCTGCAGCAGGAGAAGGGAAGGATGAGACAAACTCAAGCAAATTCAAGCACAAAGAAGAAATGCAACTTATTCAAACCATTCAGTGCAGAAAAAACCCTCACTGATCCTTGAGATGATTTTTGAACTGCACCATTGTGTATTCAGGTTTATTAGCCATAGCACCTCTGTTCTGGGATATAAAGTTCCATTTTTTTGTGAAACAAACCCATTATGAATTCCTGTTTGGATATGAGGCTAGATGTAAAAGCACACATTCCATCACCAGTACTGATCAGGGTTTGCAGGTCACTTATTCTGAGAGACACTTAGAGGTAAAGTCTTCTCTTGGGGCCTTCATCAACAACCACTGGAGACAGCAGGAGTCTCTCCAATACAATTTGGCTTAATCTTTTAAAAATGCTCAGGTGGCACTTCAGCTATGGGCAGAACTAGAAAGACTGACAAAACCCTGTTTCTTCTCTTGTTTCAGTAAAAACCTGAGTGATAAAAAACAGCTCAAAACTAAACTGCAAGATTCCAGGTAATGTCCATTCTGTTTCTGGTTAAGCTTATTTAATGCAGTACATTACTCAGAATGATTTGGAGCTATAAAAAATGTTACAATAGTGAAGATTCCTGAATAAATAATTCTCAATTAAGTGTTAGCACCTAATTATATTAACTTATAGCAATTACTGATTCAATTATGAAATTGAAGATTAACCTGAAAATGCAGACTGGCTAATTTATTTTTATGATAGCTATACACCAATAGCACATGTAGTTGGGCTTCTCTAGGCACAGGCAAGGTAAGGATTATTTTAACACTCTTTTAAGATTGTCCTGCCACACTTGAAGAATATCTGACTGGAATACATACTGAATTGTGCCTGACACAATGTTCTATTCATTATTCTATAGTCTCATGTATCTTGCACAGAAATAAGGGAAGAAATAGGCCTTGCTATTTATCATCTCTGTTTATGGTTGGGGGTTTTTTCAGTCAAAATTTGCATGGGACATTTCATGATTTATACTTACTTTTATAGTAAGTATAAGAAGAAAACATATTTCCTAATACACTTGTTTTTGAGTTTTGTCTTGGAAACAAGAAAGTTTGAGAATGTTTTATGGTTCAAATTTGGATGGAGGGGAGAATGGGGTCAATTGTCACTCTAAATGACATCAGTTAAGTATTTAAGGAAAGCTTTTGATGTTCAGAACAGTGAGGAGTAAGATGAAGATGACAGACTAAAGCTTCCTCTGGGTCAGAGAAGATGGACTAGATGAACTCCTTAAGCTCCTTCCAGATTGTAGATTTTATGCAAGTGTGTAAAATAAGACTTTTGGTGTTTTGATCTCTCATGTAATCTCATGATTACATTTTTTCTTTCCATACTGTGTGTGACCAAGCAAAGAGTTTTGCCACATATTCGTACTTTAAAATCACGTGACTTAAAAAAAAAATAGCAGCGTGCCTTGGAATCTTAAACAGGTGATTTCTCCCAATCCCAGTTTTCAGTGATGATTTACTTATTGTGCATGTTACAATAAACATCATGATTCTCAACTACAGAGCTAACAAGCTGTATTTGTCAGTGGTGCATGTGGCGTATGGAGGAGGTAACAAAGCAGCAAAGATTACTTCACGTGGACAGATTATGTATTATTTGTTAGTGTGTCACTTCCAGTGCTCTTTCTTTTCCAAGTGCAAGTATAAAAAACCTGTGATTAGCTATGATGCTTTATGTGTTAGCTTTTACCCAGATAAATGTCAGATTTAGATAATCCTATGGGATCTGGGCTTCGAAAGCTTGGAAACATGACTCTGGAAGTTTAAGAAAATACATACATACATATTATTGAGATTAGTCCAGCAAACAGCACAGTCCTGCAATAATAATGCATGGAGTAGATTGAGTTTATCAACCATCTCCAAACATTTCCTGTGTGAATTAGTGGAAACCAAGCAAATGGGAAAGGGGAGTGGATTATTCAGTAAAGATGACTAATAAATGTATCATTTCTCCCTAATCCATCTCTGTCCTAGCATGTTTTTTAAAATTTCAATCTCAAGTATATTTGTAACTTTCAGGAAGATAAAATACAGTATATATGGCTTCCAAAAGGGACTGCTGTGGATAATTTTTTTTATTCTAGTTCTTGGGCTTTCATACAGATAGTTGGTTTTTCCTTTACCATTCTTTTTTGCTTATATTTTTCCCATTTTAAATACCAAATATCTATAGAGCACTCAATTAAAAAAACATCATTATGAACAGCAATGCTGTAAAATCAAAACATTTTTCTATTGTAAGAGGAGTTTCTAAAACTGATCAACTTTTTGGTCCATCACAAACTAAATATCTGTTAATTGTCTGCCAGGCCTACAAAGTATCATATTTATTAGGTATACCATTCTTGGGAAGTGAACACCACAGGAAAATGTTGTAACTAATCCTCAGGCATTCAAATCCTTTTCCAAAATTAATTTTGCTTTTGAATTTTGTCTTTTAAAACACAAAGTCAAGTGCACTATGACACTACCTCAAAGAAAGAATTTCTCCCTTGCAGAGCATGCAGGGACACAAACAGTTTTAAGTGCACACTTACTGAGAGTTCTGCTGTATACCCAGATCTTACTTCTTTGTCACTTACTCTGTTGTTATACAAGAAAGTGGAAAATTTCAGACCCCAGCTATCTGTGCTTTTGACTTGTTTTCCTCCTCAGGTTGTCAAACTGCAAAAACATAACGAATGTAAGGTCAATTTAAAAAAAGAAGTAAAATTTTCTGTAAAACCCCATTTGTGTTTTGAAGAAAGTCCAATTGTTTCACCTTTATACATTAAGCTGTCACTACCCAACAAAATGTAGGTAAGTGATATAGGAGCTCACTGTCTCTTTTCACTTCATGACTCAGGTACCAAATGTTTCAATTACTTTCAGTGCACACTGTATTATCTACATTCTCATAAACACTAAATATTTTAAGAGTTCTTTACTGTTAAGAAGTTGGCAAATTGAAGGCATGCAGGTATTGAAGGAGGCAGTCAAGCTCTTCAATACAAAACAGAATTTGTCACTGGATGTGTAGAAGTGTGAACAGCGAGGTTAACCCTGTACTCAAATCCTCCCTTTCCCATTGCTGTTAAAATCTGTTTCTTGTTGATGGTCAACTCACAAATGCAAAAATTACCCACCTGTCTGCCCAGTCCACACAGCTGCAGAGATCTGGCTGCTGATCCAACCATCTGCAAAATGCAGCAGCCAGTTAATGAAGGAATTCAAAGCACTCTTAGAAAACCAGGTTTAATTTGCCAAGTGTCGCCTGCAACTCCAAAGAGGCATCCATTCTTTGGGATTCTTGATTAACACCATTGGATTCAATTGGGAACCTAAATGGGCAGGCCAGCCAGCTTTAGTATTTCTAAGTTGCATCAAGGGCCTGATACAAACCAGCCTGGTTTTGATTCCTACACCAAAACAGACAGACTAGAAAAATCAACCTCACTGGTATCTAGCCCTGCAAACCTTAAAAAAAATCCACTCAGAAATCCACATCAGACAGACTTCTGCTGTTTACACACAGTTCGCTGTTTTCATAAAAAATATGTGACTGGAGCTTCCTGACACTTTGAGATATGTGAAACTAAATGTACTGAGAATTTGGAGTGGGAACACTAAATTTAGAATTTAGAGTACTCAGCACTGATGTAATTGGGCCCTTATCAAAACATTTATTTCCCCAGCAAAAAAAGAAACAGAGCAATGCTGTGCAGTTTTGAGCAAGGAAAAAAAGGATGAAGAAAATATACTGGGTACTTACAACACAAATGATGGGCTGTTAAGAGATAAGGGATGGTATAGATGATGTCTCCATCCTTTAAATTACATCCTTCTCTTGGAAACAACCTCTGTGTAAACTGCAAATAGACAAGACAACACTTAATGAGAAAAGAATAGGATTCTGTTTATTATGTCACACATCTAATTTTTTAACAACATTACAAACCCAAAGCTTCTGGAAAATTACTATTGAAAAATGAGGTACAATAAAACTATAGTTAAAATGTGCTAAATTATGATGATCTGCCTGACACTCTCATGTAGAAGCAAGAAGAAGTATTTTCCAAAATGTGTGTTGATTTACCCCCATTAATTCCTTTTTTTAAAATAAATAATCCATCCTGAAGTGTTTGTTTCCAATCTAAAGGCCACTTAAGATATGGAAAGATTCCAGTCACTTAACAATGTGTGTTCAGTAGACTCTTTCATCCCTCCAAATATACACAGACCAATTACCTTGCCTTTTGCACTGACTCTGCTATCCCAAAGCATCCCAATGTACTTTGCAAATATAATTAACAACATGGCCTGTCAATGTCCACTGTTGATATGCAACTGCTGGTTCTGAAACCATCAGCACTTGGCAATACTGTGTAAATGTTTAAACCAAAAGTGAAGAACTGCTTATTAGTCTAGGGGGCAAATATAACCACTGAACTTGGAATTTGATTGGGATTAAGCCCTGGGGTTTACAACCCTGCTCCTATTATTGCATTCCCATGGAACCTTGATGGTTAGCACCCTTTAGCTGTGTCATGGATAATAATGCTTTATTAGGAGACTGCATCAGAAGGAAGGGTGCTACACCATGAATAAGCCTGGGTTTGGTTTGGTTTTGTTGGGCTTTTTTTAATGAGAGAGTTCAAATATATTTTTCCAAAGTATCTATTTGGTGTAGAATCATAGAATCATAGAATCAATTGGGTTGGAAGGGACCTCTGAGATCATCAAGTCCAACCCTTGATCCA